AGGCATCGAGTGAGCTTTTTGAGAGCTCAGACCTGCACCTAGGGGTTTCAGTGCTGCTCCGTTGGGTGTATTGCCATCTGCAGCAGCAGTTCTCTGTCAGCCCTGTGCCACCTGGCCTGTGGAAAGGGACCCACCTTCATGCTTGGAGAGCTTTTTGGTTGCAGTGTCCAAGCAGAAAGAGAGATTGAACTGTCACTGGACAGTCGCTGTGCGAGTGATGATCGCTGCGACGCTGTGCTGTTGGGGACTGCTTTGTCTGTCACTGCTAGCAAGAGGCAAGCAAGAGTCGACCCCACCGCCTGCCAGGATCTCGTTTTGTAGTCTTCAGACAAGTTCTCCTGTGTAGTCTGTCCATCAGTCCTTCGGAGGCTGTAAGGATGGAGGTGAGGAAGATGTTCTCTGCGTGCAGGGAAGGTAGGAGGGGTCCATCGCCTTCACCTGCTGTTATCAGCAGCTGGTGATGCCCCTCTTGTGCATCATATGAGGCAATCAGAGTCTTCTGGCTCCTCTGTCCCCTGCGTAGCACATCCAGAGAAGAAAGGAGGGCTGGGCCTGTGTTGCTGTTTGACTATGTTTAAGGTATTCTGCAAAGCCATAATGTTCCTCTGGACATTGAGCTGGAGAGAGTCTGCATTTGAAGTTTGGCTAAAGCTTGACATCAGCCAGTGGCTAGAAAATCTCTGCAAGATATGAAATAATAAGAGCAACGTGAGAACACAGCTCTTCCTTCTTAAGCGATGGCCATGAAAAAAGTAGCTAAAACTGCTCTCAGGTGGTGTGGGGCTGATTCTAGCCTGGTGCAGGTCAACAGCAAAGCTTGTATTCAGGGATGGTGCATTTTGGCTTGCACAGTCCGGAGTCCGGACGCCGGGGCCCTCGGAGCTGTGAAACAGGATCTGGCTCATGCAATAAAACGCCGGCACCTCAGGGTGTCAGCAGAGAATGCGTGTCCTGGGGCTGCCGTGGCAGAAAGGGGTAGGAGCTGGGTGCAACAAGGGGATGCTGCCAGAGACACGAGTATCAGTCCTTCTTATATGTATACATGCATATATATGTGTGTGTGTGTGCATATACAAACACACACATTTTTATATATATATATGTATTTTTATTTTTATAGATACAGATAATCTGAAAAAAAAAATTAATGCTTATAATTTATTCCCTTTTCACCACCTTAGAGCTCTTTTCCTGGGATCTGAGCAGGACGTGGGTCTGCGCAGACCGCTCTGCTGGGTCACCGGGCAGTGCCTGGCCTTGCATGCGATGCCGGGGTGCTCAACGGGGAGCAACGGGGAGCGTTGCGGGGCTGTGGGTTCGCCTCCCTGACACATGCAGTGGGTACATCTGTACCCATTCAGTAACCTGGGTGTAGCAGATTTGTACATCTGCTGGCTGCTGCCTTCATCTCGCCTAGAAAGCGTCCGAAGACAGAAGGCCTCTGTTTGTTGTAAAATTGTTGTAAGATTGTTGTAAAAATCCAGTGGTGCTATGTTTTTTATGGTTTTGCTTATTTTGTTTTTGAGAGGATCAGCAGGCTCCTTTCAGGGCTTCTGTACTATGAAATCATGCAGAAGACAGTTGCTAAAATATTTGGGGCTGGTGTCCTTCTGTACACCAAGTACCTGCTCAGGCTTATAACATACGGGGCAATGTCGGAGGAATAGTATTGCTTTCAATTAATAGTTGCAGGTTTAGGTCCCACCGAAGAGCAGACAGCCCAGACGGGGAGTTACTTTCTCGGCAGAGACGGATCCAGAAAGTCAGCGTGCGTGAAGAGCAAAGGTTTTGACGGTCCATTGGTCTGGTCTAATAATTTCTATATTCCTACAGCTTTAGGCCACCAAGTCTGACCAGTGCACATCTGTACTGAGCCCAGTAACCTGGGGCCAGCCAGATACAGATACTCTGGGTTTGACGACTTGGAGAGATTTGTTCTCCCTGAGCACATCCTTTGGAAAATGGTTGTTCCAGTGGACCACCATCCGTGCTAATATTTTATGCCTCATTTCAACTGGTTCCAACTTCCAGCGATGAGCTCGTACTCTACTCTTCCCTGCCAAATTAAGGAAAGACAGTATTTTCTCTCCATGAAGATGATAATATGCTGCAGTCAAATCATCTCTCAGTCTTCCTTTTGGCTTGAGAAACAGATTGAAGTTGTTTGGTCTCACAAAGTCGTAAAGTATCTTTTCCCAGTCTTGAAACATTTCAGTGCCTCTTTTTTGAACCATCTCCAACTTTTCTAATCACCTTTTAAAAACGAGGGCGCTCAGTCTGTCTGCAGTACGCTGGGACTGGCTTCACCACGGCTTTGTACAAGGAGAAAATTACCTCCTTGTTTGATCTCAGGTGCATGTATCTGAAAATTGCTTTAGTCCTTCAGGTCAGAGTGTGGCTCTGTGTGTGGCTGCAGCGTGACCTGCCTGCTGGGATCACGGCTGAGCACCATGGGTGCTGTTCATGGGTGCACCCACGTTCCTGGACACATTTGACTATGCTAGAACTGCTCAGCTTGGCCAGAGCTAGCTTATGTTGGTGTCCCTTTCACAGTCATTGCTCTCCACCCCTCCATGGGTCACCCACAATTTTTAGCAACAGTGATGTTCAGTTTAATTCCAGAGCATTAATAAATCTGCCCCACACCAACCGTTTCAGGAGCCCTGTGGAAATACCTCTACTCAGGAGCAACACACATTGAGGACACCATTTTGCCTTGCAGCACGTGGCCTGTTGCTCACTTCATGCCGTGTACTGCTGATTTGTTTTGTACTCAGATGTGATGCGATGCAAAGCCGGGTGCCACTAGAAGGTCTCTTATGTTCTTACCCAATTTATAATCTCCTCAGAAAGCTGTATCCTTAGCCTCACTGCTAGTTGTATTAACTTTTAATTCCACATCACTTGGCTCCTGCATTGATTTTTATGTTGTTTTGTCCATGATTGGCAAGTACAGGTTGCTGTACCGTCTATAACGGAGGCATTTTGCCTTCACTTTAGGTGCAAAGCTGGCTTTCACTGACTGCTTTCACCTTTCTGCCTACCAGTGGGAATTGTACTGGTTTGATTTTGATGTTCCTTCACTGTTTCCCCCCACCCACCCTATTGCTTTTGCTGCCTTTATGAGTGTTTTGCGTTTCACACTTTCTTGGTTTGATTGATTTGCAATTAATCCCACCCTTTGCTGATTGCTGAATATTTTGTACCTTTTTTTGCTCCTGGCTGCTGCCTTTCCCTTGGCTTTAGAATGGGTGCTCAGCCACGCCGCTGTCGGGTGAGATTGATGGACCTTTTGGGCATCCAATAATATTACCATAAAGATTGTCCAGCTTTCAACCACATTTTCTCTGTCTTAATTAATCTTTCTCACTTGTAAAAGCACTGTATGATTTTGGGAGCTTTGGGGAGTATAAGTGAGGAGGATGGGAATGAGTGGGGAGGCTAATTCTCGCTGTTTAGGGGCTATTAATTGTACATTTCATGCCATAATGAGAATGAAGGGATGAATACTAAAATATCTGGCAATATGATGTGACTGACCCATTTTGAAATAGCAACTACATGTCCATGTAGGAGGTTGTGCAGTAATTATTGCAGAAGATTGTTCTTTTCGTTCATCTGCTCCTCTCCTCTCCATCCTCCCAGGATTACCCACTGGACGCTTTCGCCTGCAGTTGCAGCATTTTGATCTGTCTACCAGCTTCATAACCCGTATCAGAAACCATTGCAGGTGTTAGTTTTCTAACATTTTAATTCATACTTTGTTCTGACTTTCTATGATGTTCCAAGCAATGGGATTTCCTTCTCTTTCGCTATTGCATGGTCTAATGACTCTCATCCACAAGTTCAGCCTGTTCTTCACTTTATTTTGCCTATTACTTCTGCTTTAAAAGTTTTCAAACACCTTCGGCTGTTCCCAGTGTTTACATGACTCTAAATGTGTCACAGTCTTTAAAATCTCTGTTTCTGGGTAGTCTAAGCTATTATATATTTAGTTCTTCTGATTTCTGCACAGACTGAACCAGCAATTATTTTATCTTTGCATTGCATGTTGGAATTACTAATAACCAGTATTAAAAACAGGGAGCCCATAATAAGTGGTGGGATGGTGCATTTGGAAAAGGAGCTACACTGGCTTATTACCTGGTCCTCATCTGTCGTGCTCAAACTCCCTCTGCCTTTTGCCATCATAGCACTTGTTGATGTTGTTTTACAGCTTTGGGGTGTCCAGTTTCCTTCCTTTTCATAAGGGGTTTTGAATATTTCTTTATTTAGATTGATTTCTCCCATGAATTTCCAGCTTTCTCTTTCCAAGATGAAAACACATACCATTTCCTTAATCTGTTTCTAAATACACTGGACCCCTCCTTTCTTCCCTCTGTCTTTCCCCATCCATCACACTTTCTCTGTCATCTTTGATACTTGTATCTGTCCATAACATAATAGTCTCCCTAAATATCATTATACTACAGATGATCCCCTTTGATCATCACCGTATGTGTTAAATAAGGCCATACGAATACCATAGGATGTTAGGTTGCTTTGAAGGGTTAAAAGAGAGGATGCGGTGGTAGATGAACGCATGGAGGAGTGCACAAGGGTGGAGATAGCTCCAAATTAAAAAAGTCAGGAGGATGTGGCTTTTCTTTTGCATATATGGACTAGTCTTGGCATAATACTTGATGTCAGGACTGCTGGAGTCGTGCTCCTGGCCTGCTAGGAACCAGTTGATACTCTGTGCTCTTGTTTAGTGGTCCGGTCTGTTTATGACTCCTACTATTGTTTGTGATGATTAAGGTTATTTTCATTACTAGCAAATGATTTTATTACTTTTGTCTGGTTAAATTTTACTTGCCATATATGACAGACACGCATACTTACCCATACTTACTTTAAATAAATTGCATTAAAAGAAAGTACCTTTAATTATGTCCTAGTGATGAGAAAGTGAGCGCTTGACAACGAGAATTCATGTTTTCTCCTCTTTTCCCCCCATTCAGAGAGTGTTTGAAGAGGAGCCCGCGGAGCCCGAAAGCGGAGGGCTCCGATTCGGTGACATCTCAGTCCTCACCCAGTGAAGAGGCTGGAATGATGACTGAGGTGAAGGTGAAAACAGAGGTACCAGATGACTATATCGAAGAGGTGATCTGGCAGGATGACACCAAAGATTCCAAGAAGAACATAAAGGATGGGCCGGGAGATGTGCCTGCGGAGATCTGCGTGGTCATAGGTGGGGTCCGCAACCAGCAGACGCTCGGTAAGCTGTGGGTAACACACCCCATTGTTCGGTTCCCTGAATCCATGGTGTTGGGGAGAGGAACGAAACTCCGGAGAGCCGTTCATGGAAGCTCAGCTCTGCTGGAGGGACCAGAGCCAAGGTGCACATCAATCTCAGGGTCCTGGCTCAGGATTATTGACCTTTAACTTTTGCTATCTGTTTGTATCTTGTCACCCCTAAAGACTCAACCAAGATCAAGGTAACTGTAAGAGAAAGCTTATTACTTTCTTTGGACATGTTAAATGACTTGCCCATCAGTCATGTGCGAAATTCATGGCGAACCCAGGGCTGGTGGTAGGTATGTTGGGCACAGATGAGGAGGCAATCAGGAGGAAAGCCTGAGAAAAAGTTGAAATGCTTTGAGGAAAGTTGCTTTGGGGAAAGTGGCTGCTTTCTGTGAATAATTAGATTTAGCTCAAAAACAGGTTTTACAGGTTGCTGTTTGTTTGTTTTTCTGATTACTAGTAACGTTGTGGGAATAATTTTGACTTTTGGCTGGCTGTGGTGTGCCATTTCCAAAACAGTACTTCCTATCCCCACCCCACCTCGAGCGGTGATGAAGGTTTTTCTTTTTTTTCTGTGAACATCAGACTCTTCTCTCCTCCCGCTCCAGGGAAAGGGCTTTCTGCGGGATCCTGGAGAGGCACTGCTCTTGCTAAAGGGACTCCTCTGTTGGTTCTGACATGGAGCAGGTCCCAGCAGTGATTTTTGAGAGCCAAAGGCAGTTGCTGATATAAATAAGAAAGAGCAGTTGGACCATGTTTCCTTCGAAGGGCTCAGGAGAATGCTAATTTGAGCTGCCCAGCACTGCTGTTGGCATTGGTTTGTCATGCAGGGGGAGAGAAAAGAGGTATTGATGTTAGATTTTCTCTTGGTTTTTGCTTGATCATTGTCCACGCTGTTGGAAAGAAACCCTGGAGTGTGTCATCAGCTGGTGACTGTATTGGGAGCATTGTTGTCCTGCTTGTCTTCTCTTCCCCAGTAGGACAGCCACTAAGAACGGCAGGGTGGGAGGTTGCTGCTGTTTAAGCAGGGTCAAAACATCTAGGGAGAGCCTAAGAAGTCCATAACTGGTTCCAACTTAAAGATCTTACAATATACTCTGTGTATATTCAGAGCTTTTGTGTCCCCACAGCTCCTGAGAGGTTGATCATTGCCTGGGCAACCCTGAAATGCGGAGGTGACCCTGCCACCCCAGGAGGGATGGGTGGAGAGACTGCTGCTGATCGGAGGCAATAGGAGCTTCTGCTTCAGCCGTGGTCACCAGCCCTTGATGCAGATCGGGTGTCTGCCATGTAGGACCCTCTTCTCCCCATGGCTTCTGGCTGGGCGGCAGCGGCTGTTCTGCAGATGATGTCCCCTGAGTTGACTATATTGTTGTGCAAAGTGGAGAACGGGCTTTTGCTGTTGGCTAACTTGGATGTACACCATCATGTTGTACCTATGGAGAGCGTGGGGGACAGGCTGGGGTGAGGGGGGACACTATTCAATGTGTAGGCACCATGGGGAGAGGGACAGAGAGTTATTTACTAGTTAACAAGTGGTGGTCGAAAGCCGTAGAATGTAAACTGGAGAACTTCTATCTGGAAGTGCCTTTTCAAGTGAAATGTGCATCATATTTGTTATTTTATAGCCTCGCGCTGGGTTTCTTTAAAGGCAACTTGGTCCTGAGGCGCTTGGCAGTTGGCAGCCGATTCCTTTGTGAAAAGAGCCCTGTAAGTGCCCCTATTCATCCGCCATTCACATAACTCTTGTTTGTCGGGGAGGTGGCTCTGAATAACTTTTCTGTTAGGCCACCAAATACTGTGCTCTGTGTGGACCGACCGTGGTGCCCAGATATCAGTTCCTTGTGGTTTCTTGAACTGGCTCCCAGTCAATTCTTCTGGTCCCCTCCATCCCCCCCCAGAAACCACAGACAGGCACTATTTCCATCACTGCAGACATCTGTGTAACTCGCACAAGAAACGTCCCGTGCCTGCTGCTTCGCTGGCAATTTCGGCTGCTGCTCTGGAACAGCCCAAGATTGCGAACAGCTGAAGATGCCGGTGCCTCCTACCTCTGGAGCAAAGGCTTTGTGCTCTCTGCTGCTGCTGCTCGCTGGTACTTCCAGGAGATTTTCTCCCTGAAGCCTTTCTCGTGATGTGATCTGGTAGCCCTGTACCTAAATCACTTCAGCCGTGCAGAAAGGCAAGGCTTTGGTAGGATTTTATTTGCCTTCATCAGGGAAGCTGAGATTGGAGGTGTCAAAAATGGTTATTTTTTGTCATAATTCATGGTGCAGGATGCAGTGATGAATTGGGAGTAAATGAATCCCTCTCCTTTGTATGGAAATGCTGACCCCCAGACTGGCTCCTTTCATGGTGTGCTGGGGACGGTCAGTTAAATGGGGGATGTGTTGTCTGAGCCGGGGCCATGGTGTTGAAGGCTTCAGGGCACATGTGGCTCCAAGTGACAGACAGCTTTCCTGCGGGGCTTAGCTTCGGGACTTGACTGAAATGCGCATTAGAAGATTTATGTTTCTTTTTGAGTCACACATCTACTGCAGGAGTGTGCTATATTTATATTTTTAGTTGTTGCTTGGAGCAATTTGTAACAGGGATTCCCAGCTCAGTTGGTGCTATTTGCTTGTAGTGTTTTCATCAAATTAGGCCTTGTGTATGCTGCCTCCTGTTTGGTTACACGTTCACATGTCTCTCCCTGCACTTTGGACTACTCCAGACTCTTTCCATCTGTTTGGAGCAGCCCAAACCCCGCGATGGATGAAAGCGGATGCAGCGAAGCAGGATGGGTGGTGGCAGTGGCTGCAGTCCCCCAGCCGAAGAGCCGGTGCTGATGTTTGTGGTTTCGGACCATTTCCCTTTCATCTGCTTTTCCACAGAAGTCTCGCAAGCCCCGTGGGGTCCCCCTTCGGGCATCCCAAGCAAAGGAAGCCAACGGAGTGGTTGGCTGTATCCCTGTGTCCGGTTAGCAGCAGACTGATAACTGCTGCTGCGGATCCCACGCTCCTCCCCGTCCACTGACCTGTACCCCCCGTGGTACCGCCGGGTCTCCCTGCCTCGTATGTGGGGTGTTTCTCACCTTGCACAGCTCCGAGATGCAGTATTTCCTGTTCTGTTCTTCTTTTTTCTTGCTAGCGTCACATGCTGGCCTTAGGCCAGGGTCATTTGAAGAGCTCCAACACATTAACATTTCTCAGGGCGGGGGTGTCAGGGCAAAAAGGCAGAGAAGTCCACCATGAAGCTATCTAGAAAGGAGGGGAAAAGAAAAGGGCACTTGCATTGTAAATCAAAGAGAAAGGGGGAGAGACCGTTTGGCTGATCTGGATCATTTTCTAATGTTGGGAATATCATCAGGTCAGTATTTGTGTTTTGGAGGACTGAGTTATCTGTGAGTTGATCAGAAGTTTTATACAAGACTATTTAAACTCTCAATCCGGTCTGTGCTTTACAGGAAACATTCTGGAGATGATTTTTCAAGTAATGTATTAAATCAGAAAATTTTCTGAGACAAAGTGAAGAGTGAATCCTTCTGCTTTGAGACTATCAATCTTACATGCACATGCTTGATTCATGCCATGATGCTGACGTCTCAGTTGCTCAGCCGCTCAGCACACATAATTCAAGAGCACTTTGGATTCTCCCTAGTTATACCAAATAAAATAGTGCTGCAGAAGCCTTAAGAAACTCTGTGACCTCTGACATCTTGTTAGCAAGCCACAGGGACAGATGGGTCTTGGAAATTTTTAATAGGCTTCAGCCATCATTATTCTTTGGAAATGCATCCACTTTAAGGGCTCTTTTCTGGTTTTTTTTTTTTGCACAATTTAGATGGAAAAGCAGTGGAACGTGGCTCTCCCGTTGGATATACACGAAATCGATATTCAGGGACCTGGATTTTTGACCATGCATTGAGATACATGTCCGGTATGTGATGGAAGGGTGTGAAAGTCTAACCAGGGATCAGGGAGCAAGGGAAAGCTCTGGATGCAATGGGTATGTTGCCCAAATTCCAACTGCGAGGCTGAGGAAAAGCCTGGCAAAACTGAATGCACCAACTAACCAAAAACCTTCCCCATCTCCCCTCCTACTACAAACAGCTTTAACCTGCATGACACATCCTGATGTGGACAAAGTCCCAGATAAACCATGACCATGGTGGCAGCGTCCAAGGCAACACGGGCATGTTCTTTGTAAGGCCTTAACATGTAGCGGTGTCTTTCCCCCCCCCACTTCATCTTTCCTCCACTCTAATAACACATTTATTGTGGCAAGCCATCCCTCCTTTCTCTAATATGAGGATCTGTGCCTTTGCCTCCCAAATCGTAGTGTGCTGAGTACACAGTTGTGGCCGATGAGTTGTCTCGGTGACTGCAGGACTTTAGATCTGTAATGCACCTCCCTTACACCCTCCACAAACTCGCTGTCCTCCTGGGGCAGTGCTCTACCGTCCGCGTGTAGGAGGTGGGTAGAGGTACCCCCCTCAAAGAAGATGACTCCAGCCTTCCCCAGGTTGCACTTGAGTCTTGGGTGCTTCAGGACATCCGCACAAAAGCACTGGCCATGGGATGCGCCGGTCCCTCTCCTGCCTTCGGCTCCTGCCCTTGCTTTCCAGACACAGCCCCTAGCGTGAGGGCTGCAGCACCAGTTTGGTTTTGTATTGCAGAGGGAAGGCACTACACAGTTACTTGTACAGGTTATATTCTTCTTGAAGAACTTCTGCATAACCAAATGCATTTATGTGCCATACGCTATCTCCAGAGGAAGGGGGAAATAAAAGAAAAATGGGGGAAAAAAAATCAACCTAGAGTCCCTCGCTGTTTTTTACCTGTTTTCCCAGTGCTCTGTGTGCACGGAGTGCTGTTTCGGGGTATGGGTGGGCGTCAGTCGCATTTTGCTGTTGGTACAGCTGCACCTCAGCTGTTGCACAGGGTTAGTGGTTGGTAGGGCCCAAGTGATGATGAGTGCGCTCGTCTTCTGGCGGTGCTGCTTTGGGGCGCCAGCTGGAATAGTTTTCAGGAATTTTGGAGGTTGGCGATGGATATAATCGTTCCTTGAGCATGGAAAATGAGGGCTGGCAGATGCTGCCGACGTGCTGATACCCAGGATTTCACTTAGAAAAAGCCTGCGTGGAGTGACCACGGGTGATGACTGTCCCATATATGTATATCTATATATAAAATACAACTAGCTACGATAATTAAAAGGCTATGGACCAAATCAGACATAGTCAACTGACTATAATATCAGTATTTTAGAGTATTTTTTCAGATGTGTACTCTTGTGTATTGGACTGTAGCGAATTGCCTCTTTCAGCGTCAATGACAAAGTAGCCTCCCAAGCTCAAAAGACAGTCCCAAGTGATGCTAACGATGATGGACAGGGAATTCAGCGCTGTCATGAACTGGAAGGAGGGTTGTCTTCTTCCCAAGCTGTAAGCAATAGGGCATGGGAAGGGAAAAAAAGAACATGGGTATAGCGTGTTCAAAAAACATGGTTGGTTTTGTTCCTGGAAAGAGCTCACTTTGAGTAGCACTGGGTAAGTATTGCAGTAAAAAGATGTTTGGGAGTATTTATTTGGGGGTGTGTGTGAATGTTTTGTTCTTGTTTGTGGCTCCCCTCTGCCTGTTTCTGTTTTTTATTGTAGGAAAAGATTGTTTCAAGGTTGTGTGAGGAAGCGTCCATGGAAATGAAATGCTACATTCACACAAAATAATATTCAGCCCTTCTTTCTCCCACCTCCTCTTCCAGTAAGTGCTGCTCTCGCCCTACTGAAGAGCACAGCTAAGAGGACAGCTAAGAAATGCAATACATTTTGCAAGTGAGAGCTTGAAAGGTGAATTTATTTATTTTTTGTTCACCAAGTTGGAGTGGGGGGAAAAAAAGGTTGAATCAACTTAAATAACAAATCTAAGGAAATCTCTGTCTGCCTGTCCAATAAGCAGAAGAGGCTAAATTCATTGCATAATTTCATCTTTACAAATGATTCTCCCAGCTCTGTTTCTCTGGTTTCATTTCAAATGACTGTTTGCAGATGTGTGTTTTCTGGAATTAGAGACACAAATTGAGAAAAGAGACTGCTGTGGTCATGTGCTTTTCCTTAAGAAGGTCAAAAGTTCTATTTGTATCTATTTGGTTTCCTCTGGGTGGGTATTTACCAAATCTCTGTGGGTTTCTTGAGAAATTTGTACATTGTGCATTTCTTGAGAAATTTTGAAAACTCCTTGCCTCAAGATAACATATTGCCTTCTTTTTTCAGTTGAAAAGCTTTTTTTCCCATATACTAGGAACTTACTGAAAAGTTATTCAAGGTTATTTCTGTCCATAGGAAATATTAGTCATTGTTATAAAATTATAAGTCAGGCTATTTTGAGAGTGGCCCTTTCATGTTAGCAAAGTTATGAAGATATACTGAAAATCTAAGTTCAGGGTAATATGCCAAGGAATCTTAAATAAGGCTGAAAAAAGAATTGAGTCTGGGATAGTGATTTCCTGCATTTATCTCCAGGAACCTTCCAAAAATTACTTTGCTGCAAACTGCATTCTTTTGTCCCCAGTTTATGGATAAGTATGTGGTGAGGCTGTTTTTCCTGATCTAATATGGTGATGTATACTTTTCTGTCTTGTTTTTCAGGGTCTTACGAGTGTGGAATATGTGGGAAGAAATACAAGTATTACAACTGTTTCCAGACCCACGTGCGAGCGCATAGAGGTATCTCACTCCTGCTCAAATCTTTGGGAATCCTGGGGTAACATTCAGGTTCAGGGAGTATTTTTGGGAAGACCTTGAAGATTGCTTTGCTGCTTCTCTGTTTGTCACTAATTGTTCTTTCGGGTGGCCCATTCATAGGATAAACTTTGGGGCTGTCTATGCTTTGTGGCTCTCTACTCCAGCAATATTTCTTCTGAGGTCAGGAGCAGCTCTTGCGTTTGGTGCAGTAAATACTGCATAGGGCTCTCTGGGGAATTGCTGCGTGTTGGGAGAGCTGCAAATCAAAAAGTTTCTCCTGGCAGATACCACATGCCAGCAGTGTAGTTACCTCCGCAGCGGTAGGCATCTCCCCGAGGTGCTCCGTGCTCCTGCCCAGCTGGGTGTTTCAGTCCATCCCCGTTACGTCAGGATGGGAGGATATCAAGTCAGATATTGGCATTGCTATACTGCTGTGTTTTTATGTTAAAATCAAAATGATACTTGAACTCACCCCCATACCCCTGCTGTCAGCTGAGGTCACTTTCCAAATGTATTGTTTGTATGAAATATCTCGTGCTTAGTCAGGAGTGACTTTATTTGAATTTTCTGTAAGTATGGCCAATTGGATGTTGCTTAATTGCAGAAATGTGGAAGTTTTGCTTGGTGTTTTGTACAATTAGCATAGTTTGTGTAATTTGGAGAAATATGTATCTGAAATAACAGAACAACAGGGACTTGAAACTAGCTCATGAGCCTTTCAGGGGTTTTACTTTCTTTCACCTGAGCTGAGCACTGAAGTCTATGTGTCAGACTTGTAGGAGCATCTGCTTTAGCTCCTCAGTTGTAACTAGCAGTATCAGCGCACGTGGTCTTCAATAAAACGATTGACTGGAATGTCTAAAGGAGCATAAAGGAAACTCCCAGCGAAAAGTTTGAAAATCCAGGAATAATGAAGGCTAATGCAATATTAAATTTTAAATGTGTAAACTCTCAGAAGTCAGCAACTGCACAGCTGAAAAGTGAACATGCATCCTTAATTAACTTCTCAGAGTTTTTCACAGTCTCATAATACATCCTTTAATTGCATGGTTGCAAATTTCTCCTGTGCTGTTTAACATCACAGAGCTTCTTCTGTATCCTTAGATACATGCAGATTTGTTTCTCAATGCTGGTATTCCTTTCTAAATACCAACAAAATTCCTAAAAGTCTTTTAAACGTAACTACAAAGTAGCTTCACTCTGCAGGTTAAGAGAAAAAATTCCTAAAATAATAGTGAGTAGCAGTTATTTGCTGACATGCAGAATGCTTTACTATTGCATCACAACATTGCAATAATTTTGCAATAATAATTGCAGTATTTAGATTTGGGACAAGGATTGCTTTTATTTTACTTCTCTTCCCCATGCACTATGGGACCCTTCATTCAGCTGGAATTTTAGGAGCTATATTAGTATGAGGTCACCTCCTAGTGTGTGATCCAATTGATTTGCATTTATACATTTATTTATATTTTGATCATGAAATCAACCTATATATAAGTGGTCTGGATGCATCAACATAAACATGTACAACTGATATCCGTAGTTCTGTCATGAACTCAGTGGAGACATGACTTTACCTTTTTGCTTCCAAAGCCTTTTTTATATGTAGCTATAGAAGATGGAAATTTTCAAAATTTTGAATGTGGAAATTTATTAGTAATTTTCATATCAGTGGTGGAGAAGCACAACTTATATATGTGAAACTTATAAAATGTTGGTTTATGTTGCTGTAAATTGATGCACGTAGTAGTAACATTTAAAGTGTATTTGAATTGCCTTAAGACAATAAAAATCAAAATGAGATACTTATTCATGTACACTCCTCAACAAGAAATCAAACTGAAACTCAATGCAACTCTGTAAATGTGATTCTCCCAGAAACAGAACCTGAGCAGGCAGTTAAAGCAGTCGGGAAGTGTACCTGTCTGCAGAGAAATAACGTGCCACTGAACGTGCGTGTAATGTATGGTTAGGGAAAAATAAGAAAGGATTATATGGAGGAAAGCCCCGTGTGATGTTATCCAGTGAGAATCGTACACGGACCTGTACCAGTAACAGTGGTGGAAATAGCATAAGACTGCCGGACTGAAAGAAATTTTTGTGAAAGATGCTTTTATTGCCACACGTATCTAAGGTTTCAGGTAGAAGTGGCTGGTATTGCACCATCATAACAAACGTGAGATAACTTGGTGGTTACACGTACATGGAGGATGTGATTCTGCACTTTGCATCTTCTGCCTGCGTATCTTCAGTCCGTGTCTTGGATAAAACCCCAAGGCACTGGCAAACCAGCTCTCCTAGGTCTGCTTGTCCTCGAAGCACTGAAAATTGAGCTCCCTTGGCCTATTACATGCACTTATCAGCTGCCAGAAACTCAGATCCTGAATCTTTTAGTCATTTCTTTTTGGCTGGGCAAGGAAGGGGCCACACTGCAGTGGCAGGACCTGGCATTCCCTCTTCGCCCGATGCATTTTCTGAGCGTCGGCCACGGTTTCCCCGACGCCTGGGCCACCCATCAGTCACCTAACATTTGCCTTTCCCTGGAGGTTTGACTGATCCTGGGTAAACTCACCACTCAGCATCAGAGTAGCTAGAACAAACTCAGTCCCCTTTTTCTTCTCTTTAGGTGCTTTCTTCTAGGGCTTTTTGGGCATTCAAGCAGAAATACCCACTTTTTGTGATTTGCTGAAGGACACACCCCTTCTGCTTGAATAGCCCTCTGCTTTTTGCTTTCTTGTGTGGTTCCTGCGTCACTAAAGGTCCTTGGCCAAGCTGTGGGCTGGTCCTGCAGGTGGACAGAGCTGGTGATGAAAAAGGTTCAGCCCATGGGAGAGCCGACGGTTATTGTGTTGATCTGGTTTGGACCTTTGGGGCAGAACAACTGAAAAAACCATCTGTCTGGCCAGCCCCGCTGTCACTATTCAGTGACACAACTTCTGGCCCCAGGATGGGAGGTTCGGAGGTCTCAAGTTGTCCTTACTTTGAATTGGCTTATTTCTAAGCTGGTTTTTGTGCATCTCAGTGTCTAGTTTGGAGCTGTAGCAGGGGAGCCTGGGGCTTACGGCTGGTGGCCAGCATGGGTGGGAGGTCTGTCGCCCTCTCTGCTCTTGCAGTCGGGCCTTATTTGTCAGCCGCTTGTTTTGCCCTGTGCAAAACTTAAATTTCTTCTGATCCTTTGAGCTGTTCAGTTCCACATTAAGATTCTCACACTGGCAACATCACGTTTTTCTTTGTAATGATCATTTTTGGGAGCAATTTCCTAGATTTTTTTTTATATCTGCACCTGATAGAGAAGCTGTGTTGGAGGTGACCCGTGTTCTTCAGGCTGATCTTTTTTTCTTGTCTGCCTTCAGGAATGGGTGGTTTCTAACTGGAAATCGGGGCATTTTCTTCGTTTCTTGAGCCTTCCCTATGGTGCCCAGCATTGGCTGGAGAGTTTCGGGGGGCAGTTTATCTGGCAGTTTGCAAGTGCAGAGGGTTGAGGCAGCTCTTGTTCAAGACGTGCTGCCTCGCAGGGGCAAGCTCCCTTTCTGCTGTGCTCTGAAAGCCGAGATACAGGCACGGCAAACCCCACGTAAAGGGTTCTGCAAAGAATCAGAAACGTAGGTAAGAAATTTACTCACTACGTTTTATCAAGGAGGAAATGAAAAGGTTGCGTTCCTTCCCCTTTGCCTCCCCAAAACGCACAAATAAAATAAAAAAGAAACCCAACAAAAAAAGTTATGTTGTTGAGCTGAAAGGCTCCTTTGTGAGCTGTTGTGCAGCCCTGCAGGATCGCAGCTCCTTCCTCCTGCGGAGCTGCTGGAGTTCAGCTGGAGCAGAAAGGCTGCACATTCCTGGTGGCGATGGAAGGCTCTGTCCCAGCGATCGGCACTGACAAACGTTACCGCTTCGCCTACATGCAACCCAGGCCTTAAAAATGTGTTGCTTACAGTGCTTTTTGTTTAGCTGTGTGGGGTTTTTCAAATCATTAAAAGGTTTGGATTCCCTTCAGGAGTTAGTCAGCTAGAAAGTCTTGTTCTGTACAGTTGGGTCGTATTTAAGCAACATGAGCAGCAAAACATCTGCATGTTTTGAGTCAGGAAAATTATTTCACTTTTAGATAAGTCAAAAAAAATGGCTGAAATTACTTTATTAGACTTTCAAACAGTAAATTTTAAAAACCTCTGGGCTGAGGCCAAGCAAGGGAGATTTTTACCAAAGGAGAATTCTTCAGAAAGCAAATGAAAGAAAATAGCAAGGCTCAAGTTTAACCCTCGCAGGATATATCGCCTCTGTCCTAATAATTGGTGGAAGTTCTCTGTTTCCAGATAAGCTTTTCTGGGCTGAATGATGATTTTGCTCAAGTTGTTTTTCTTTATTATTTATTTACATTATTTAGTTGCTGCATTGCCTCTCTGTGAACCGATCAGCTCTCTGTTACCCTCCCGCGTGGGTGTGCCAGCCGAGGGGCTGATCTACCATCATCAGAATAGACGCTGAATGCACTAGAGTAGGATTGTTTTCTTCAGGTGAAGTTTCTAGTTTAACCAATTGTTAAAAAACTTCTCAAAGCTTTTAAAATTCTGTATTAATGTTTTCCAAGAATGGGTTCTGCTTGATTCCAAAAATGTGGAAAGGAAGATGACTCGTTCAAACTGTGAATATGGAAAAATGCGTTTTTCCAAAGTGCACATTTTTTGAGCCTGAGTAGGAGCAGTTCTGTGACTGAAATGATTTTGAGGTGAGAAGTTGAAAATTAATAGCGAAATAACCATTCCTGAGGAGAGATGGTGTTTCTGAGCTGAAGAAAGTTGGGTTTCATTTGTATGATTAGCTGCTACTGAAAAATCATAGGATCTGGGGGGGGTCCTTTGCCCTCTGTGCTGCATCCCAAGCATCTATTTTTTACTGTGTACATTTCCCACTCCGCAGCAGATTTTTACGGGGGATGCAGAAAGTTACTTGAGACACAGGAG